TTTTGATTGGGGGGGGGGGCATATTATCAACACTCGGTCTGTCAATGTGATCTTTCAAATTTATTCTGTACTGTCATACAAATTCTGTTACTTGTGGAATCTGTAGTCCTCTCACAATTTCTTAATTTCCTTTATGGTCCAATAAGGACTGTTCTTGTTCCAAATATCATTACAGAAAGAGAGGAAAATTCCCATGTGGCATTACTCTGATTAACAACATACCATACTCTGTGATGCACAGCAAAATACACCCATTTCATTTGTGCTCACTGTTTTCTCACAGCAGAAATGTGCCCCAAAATGTGACAAACTTACCTAGTAGTTTACCGGTCTGATCAAAAGAAATATCTTGGACAGAGTCTGTGTGCCCCTTGAGTGATTTCTCATATTCTCCAGTCTCAAAATCCCATACTTTTAGAGTTGCATCTTCACTTGCTGACACCATGACACTGAAAACTGGGTGGAATATAACCTGTAAGAGAATATACAGATCTATAAATTACATCAATTACCTTGAAATATTAGGCGGCAAAGACAAATGGTTTGCAACCATATGAAATTATTGTGTCAACACAGCAGATCTTTACACTGTCTTCAGAGGTCACTTCTGTAGTCATACATTTAACTCGGAGACTAACAAGCATTGGAAGCATTACTTCAGTGCCCCCCCCCACACACACACACACACACAAATGATGCTGGAGATTAGAATGGAACATGCCACAATGATGATTACAAGAACTTCATCAAGTGTTTGTCTACATTCATTTTGACTGACCTCAGTCTCACTATGAGCTACTCCTGACCTTCCATTTTGTGCATTATCCACTGGTCACTACTGATCCTCTTTAAACGCCTAACCCATTTGTACCCTGCAAACTGACCTGCAGCCTTATTCATGTAGGCTTCCCTGATCATACATTTGTAAGAAAACCTTTTGCCGTCATGTGTAAGGCTTAATGTTTGCTTGCCCTTCGACCTGCGGCATCCTAGTTGAACAGTTCCAATTACGGCAAAATTCAGTGAACCAAACCGATTTTGATGCCATTCTTGTTCTCTCTGCACTTTAAGCTGCTTGCTAGAATGGACCTCTGCCCATGACCTTCCTGCATATTCGTGCATACTCAAGACATGAAAGTTCATGGAGGTATGTTTTGTGGTCACTGAAAGTTTCCAAACGTTATACATACATATGAACATACACAGAAAAATTATTTCAGTTTTATTGGCCTTCTGCTAATCAGAGTAAGCCATTTTTGTTTGGGTTCTTTGCCTTTCATTTGCAATTCTGCATTCTTCTACACATTGTTTTTAACATATCCAACCCACTACAATTTCTTTTATGTCTACAGCACTAATTGCAGTGATATCCAAATCTGATGAATCTCTAAGGGGGGTTGCCTTTTTAACATTAAATTGATGTTATCGCTCAATGGGGTTATGCAGAATTTCATGATGGAACCGTTCATCTTCTTAAAGACCTACCTGAACACAGGAACTGACTGTTGCTTAAACCACAAGAACACTAAACTGAGGTATGAGATCTGGAAGACTGAAAACTTCTTACACTGAATGCAGGTTATGTGCTAAATTAAAATGAAATAAAAACAAGGAGAACTCACACATTGTTTATATTGGGTTTTTACTGGGACAAGAACAAATTTTCATTAAATGTGGTAACAATAAACTGGGATTTTACTGTACCGAGATTAATAAGCAGCGCCAGAAGAACTGATGGTAAAAAAGGGACTGGACAGAAAAAAGAATGCAAGAAACAACAGTCATGTTGCTTAAATGAAGTTTATACAAAATAAATCTTCCATGATACAGAAGACAAAAACTGAAGCAATGATGATGTAGTCAGCATGTCTCAAACCATCATGCAGATAACATCTGTTAACATATCATTGTGCTGATCATTCAATCCTTACTGTCATTTTATGTATGCAGTGTATTAGAGTTAAAAGACAAATTTTACCTTTGTAACAGGTGCACGATGACCTGAGAGGCAGTACTTCTCTGGTGGCCTTGGGATCCATTCGGTAGGGGATCGCTTCCCTCGTGTAGGAGCACCTTCAATAAATTCTTTCTCTGCTTCAGACAGTTTGGATTCAAGCTCCATCACCTTAAAATATCAAATAACAAACACAAATAACAGCAGCTCTTGGCCTCAGGGTCGTACATGAGAACTATTTGAGTGCTCCTGCAATGATTTAAGTTTAACAATGTAAAATCTTTAAAATTATTCCATGTCAATCTTCATAATCAGCAGTGTTTGATCCCGCTGGATACGTAACCATTTTAACATGCTAAGGATATCTCTGGGTCACAAGTCACTTTTTGAAGAAAGGACAGGGCAATGAGAACAGAACTCTTTAATTAATCCACATATACATGATTTAAAGCCTGGAGTGTGTAGGCTGTCCAGTGAATGTCTACATTCATTACCAAAACATCAGCCTGTTTTATTGTTATCAAAACATAACCTTTCTTTCCAGGTCCAGTGATTGAGGCTAGCTCTTTCTAAGGGACCCAATAAAGTAGGTGTCTTCCCTCACCTGAGGACGAAAACAGGTCCTGTTTCCAAAACGCTGTTTTTTCCTAGTTAATTAGAATCCGGACGATGGACAAAGTCTGAAAACCCAGTATCTCTGTGTGTTATACACCATCGTAAGAACCCTATAGTATCTAATTTCTTTCCTTGGCTCTGGAACCAGTCATCATCAGTGTTGAACAGATACTTGTTTACTAACAACTAAAACATCCTCACTGTGATTAATGTCACAGACTTGCTGTCATTTGAACCCAGACTGAAATCACATTCAGCAACTAATTCCTCAACTAACTCTGTCAATGCTATCAGCATCTGTTATACAGAGCCATCATAGAAGAGTGCATCTTGGCTTTATTTTCTGTAATTATCTTCATACCTGTGTTTTGCTATCTCACTGGTATGTATATCAGTACTTCTATCACAACACAACCTTAAACAAACAACTGAAGACAAGAACATTTTCAATAAAATCATAAAATCAAAATTGGTATTAATTCACTAAGTATATTCCCTACGTGTTTTGACCACAAGCAGTCATAATCAGATAATGCTAAAAATGTTGTTAACACACATCATTTGACTGTTTATTACAATCGATCCATTGTTACAAGTCCAGTCAATTCGGTATAATTTGCTATATCATATCTTGATCAATAGGCTGTAAAAGATAAATGGTTACAATAGATCCATTGTAATATGCAGTCCAATGATCCCATGTTGACAATATGTGGCTGAAACAAGTAGCAAGTATGCTTAGTGAATGGATACTGATTTCATATCTTCAGTTGTTTATTTATAGCTGTGTTGTGATAGACACTGATATATATAGCAGTTACTGTAATTATTTCTGATCTCACATGCCAAACGAAATGAAGATACTTAACGAAGAGTACAAAATACCTAGAGGAGGTAGGGCAAAGTTTCCTTTGCCCTAAAGCCGCATGCTATGAAGAAAAATGGGAAGTGGAAGTAAAAATCCAAAGTTAACAACATGCATCCTGAGAAATGATGCAATGGAAATCACTTTCTCCAGGATGATAATACTTCTGTTTAGTCTTTGTCTCTGCATGAATACATGCCCATAAACACCAAGATCAAACCATGTCACCCATCCTCCATGATCCCTTGATCGCTGCATAACTCTTTTCCATGTCCAAGATTCCAGCTGGCACTCAGCAGAAGAGGTTCAATCATAAATTTATGACCAAAGAATATTAGCTGACTACAAATGTGAAATTCAAGGCAGAATTTCCACAGAGTTTCTAACAATAGCAGTGTCTGTTAGTCTTGCCATATCAGGTCACAAGGGAGCAACTATGAAGGGGACAACTTGGAACAGCCACTAAATGATTTCTATATATATAAATTTAATCAGGAAATGTTCTGATCACACCTGACATGAACTATAATGCAGCAAAACATCACTAATTGGAACTTACAAGATGACATTGCAAGAATTACTAAAGTCTGAATTGTGGAACATAATTCTACATTAACATTTTCAAGTTATAGTTCATAAAAACTAACGTAGTGTGACATGTTGCGCAATGGAGGACCCCCCCAGCGGTACGTGGCAGCATCGTAGCACTGTCGTTACTCCCCGCGGTGACATAACACGCAACACAGCTGTGACACTGGTAACAGGCAACAGCGGTACCCATTGCGTAACAGGCGGGCGCTGCGACTATATAAGGGAACTAAACAGCCACCACAGTCAGTTAAGCGCATCAGTCGCTGAAGTGAGTTCTCCAGTCCACAGTGAACAAGTTAAACTGTATCAGCGGCCGAAGACAGTTCTCCAGTCAGCAGTGAACTAGTTTTCAAGTCAGCAGCCTACGAGTTGAGTTGGAATCTAGCCAGCGGCGAGTTACGAGTTACAGACGCGTGTGTGAGAATCAGTGATAGTTCGTGATAACTGAGTAATAACTGGGAGTGTGTGTTACAGTTGCACTTGTCCCAACTCCTGCGTTATAAAAACGTGTAGACTACTGACAATAGAGTGAATTGAATATTGAACAGGGGTTGTAAATTGTGGAAACCTGTAACAGTGTTATAATTAATTGTAGCCGAGACTTGTAGGTTGTTGAATAAACCAATTAACAATCTCTACGGCGTATTCACAGCAAAACACGTTACAGGATATACAATCAAGCAACATAAGTCAATATATGTTAATTTTCTCTAAAAGCACAAATTTGTACTGTTTTTAATACAAATTACACACTATATATGTATTCTGATACTCATCTAAGCTGACATGAAGTGAAAAAGTGTATCATTAAATTCTCCTGCATGAAATATTTCTGTTCTGGGTAAATAAAGTGCACACATAAAAGGAAAAGGCAGTATGAATACATATGGTACAAAATAGTGAGGTAATTATATTAAGCAGTCACCTTCATTACTGTAAATACTTGTGAGTCTGACCTATCAGAGGTTGAAATGCATAACATGTACAAAATTTTACAGCAAAATCATTCTCAGTGTCTAGACATTCAGTCATAACAGCAAGCATACACACCTTTTTTTGTAGCCTGATAACAGAGGTCCATTTCTTCTCCAGCAAACCCCCATATTTCCTCTCCACTTCTCCTGGCATATCTGCTTCCTTTTTGAATGCTTCCAAAGCATCCATGTAGCCATTACTGCTCAGGTAGTCTGCAATCGCCTTATTTCTAAAACATAATATCAACCACAGAAATGTAACACTCCATCATTTGCAGTCAACAATAAGTAGGGTGAATAACCCCTGATTCTGCATTTAAATAATGATCAGTTTTTGATGACAATAATAATAAGAAAGAGCAACACCCAAACTGAAGTGTACAACGGCAAATATGAGCTGAAGGCCTGTGTGGCCCACTGACACATTTCAACACAAAATATATATTTCTTACAAAACATGTACACCTAATTATAGTGTCCCATCATATGAGACTGCGATTATCTACCAATGAGTCAGAAATTTACCAAGACAAGATGAAAAAACAACGAATCATCTCATATCCATGTACTAGCACACTCCAGGTTAAACTTCATTTTGCAGGGAAAAAATCTGCATATGTGTGTAAAATATATGAGTATACCATGATTTGTAGCCCTCAATATGAGATCAATCAAATCAAATTTGGAGATGAATTTGTTACAAACCTGAAATCCATGATACCAACTTGAAGGGAGACATCTAACAATCGGAACATAATCATACCCGAGAAAATTACTGTCTTCGGTTTCAACTTTAATCTTTTAACTTTTCTGCCATAATGTTAATATTCAAATTGCATTCTGCAAGATATGAATACTGAAAAAAATACAAAGCCGATCAAAATCTGTTTAACTGTCCAGACGCAATAATGGTGTTGACAAAACGATATTATTCGAAATATGCCTGTGTCAAACAAGTTTGCCACCTGTGAGCTCAGCAACGTTTTGACACTTTCCATCAACTCCTCATTATGTTGAAGCACTGTGATCACAACCAGTTCTTCAGGAAGGTAAACTGGTGGCAGGGACTCAGAGCAAGACCAGGGCTGTAAGGAGGGTGATCCAACAACTCCCAGTGGAAATGCTCCAGCAGTGCTTAAGTGCAAGCAGCTGTATGTGGATGTGCATTGTCATGGAGTAGAAGTACACCGTATGTCAGCATTCCACAGTACACTTCCTAGTTATTTTGATCCCTTGTTGCATGAACTCCATCATCAGCACTCTTTTCCTGTCCAAGAAAACAGCTGCCATCAGCTTTCTGGCAGGCAAAAGTCTGTTTAAACTTTTTCGGCTTCTTTGGTGATGGTGTTTGCATCCACTGCTTTGACTGCTCTTTGGTTTCACCATTACAAAAATTAAACCCAGGTTCTATCACCTGTAGCTTGTATGATGGGACTGAGAAATACATTGCCATCTTTGTGGTATCGCTCTAAAAAGTCAAAGCCGAAGACATTCTCTGCACACCTGTGAGCCTACCTGGATGAAATCTGTGGAAATTCATATGAAAGTTCTGAATTTGTGAAGTGTCGTTTTTCACACATTTTTTGGTCAACAATTTGAAACACTCACTCACTAACTACAGACGGTCGGCTGACCACTTCGCTCTTCATCGTGAACATTCATTTACCCATCATTGAACAAGATCACTCACTCACTACAGACGGCAGGCAGACCTCTTCGCTCTTCATCGTGAACGTCTGTTCGCCCATCTTTCAGCATTCTAGACCATCGTATTATAGTTCCTTTACTCCTTAAATTTTGGCCATAAACCGCGCACAACTCATGATGGCCTACCGCAGCACTCATGTTCTTAATGTGAAGAAAGAGGATAGCGCAAAGTTTCCCGCTGGCGGGATTATTAATGACAGGACACATCATAACTCACTATGCAGAGACAAGAACAAACACTATGTTCCCAGTTATGTAAGGGTTTACAAAGCACTATGTCATGTGACGCCACCTCGCATGCGCCAGCTCTCCCCCGCCCTACATTAGTTGCTAAAACAAACAGAGGTTACTTTCTTTATAACCCGAGGATGATAAAACGGGTATTAATTTCAGAATTCAAGGTGCTACAGCTGTTAAACCTATCAATTTCTTTCCTCTATGGTGACTCCATTGC